GGTCCACCAGGTACCGACCAAGATTCGATCCATGTATGGCAAGGCTGATTTACACAAGTTGATCCATCAGTCGACTTGGATACAACCAATCTGTCAGATTTTTTACATTCAATTACGACCAGTGGCTACAGCCAATAGCAGTAATCATTGTGTTCTGCAGGCTGGAAAGGCTCCCTGCACCCCCCCTCCTCGCCAGTAGATCACAATAAAGCTGTGAGAGGCATTCCCCCATCAACACTGACTGTGTTGATGGGGGAATCAAGAGATTTTCTTTCCACCATTCCCACTGGTGGAAAGGAAGAAAATAAAGTAATTTATGGGCTGCTTTACAGTTTATAGAATGAAAATAAGACTGTTTTATGCTTCCAGATCAGCTCACAGGAAGCTACAAGGACACTGCATTTCAAGACAAGATGAACCGGTAGTTTCTATACTTGCTCAAAATGTGCTTAACCAGAAAAAAATTCCTAAGCCACCACATCTAGGGAATGTTATCCATTCGACCTCATGCACACTGGCCTCGGGCTGTACGATGTAAAATTTGGTTTTTTTTTCCTGCCTCGGAGCTACAGGTGCTGGGTACAGCTTCCCACAGAAATCAATGGCTGTATGTAGCAGTATGCAGGTATACACCTGTACTTTTCTAAACATGTGCATGTGTACAGACGTACGACCCTGGATACAGACTGTCTGCATTCAGGGGTATACATCTGAGTATTTACACAAGTTACAGTGTAGCCCCAGGTGTAGCAGCATAAGGCCATTGTTTTCTATGGGTAGCTGTAATCAGTACCAGCCAAAGAAATACACTCAGTTTTATGTCATATGGTTTCAGGCCCCTGTGTGCATGTGGCCTGATGCCCACTATGCCAGGGTAGTGGTACATTTTACTTCCCCTTTATTGGAACGTACGTTCTAGTTCATTGTGGTCATTTAGCTTTCTATTAGGCAAAACATTGTGGAATTCAGCTTATGTTGACCATAAACAGCATGCATGTTGAACAGACCCTGTGCGACAGACCCTTCTCATTTCCATTAAGACCCTTCTCTTTTTCATTGACCACTTGGTAACCGTTCTATAGCCGAATGACGGCTACGGCATGGTTACCCAGTTCTGTGAGGGCGTCATATGACGTCCTCCCAGAATGCGCCCTCCTGGGAGCCCCCAGTGGCGCGCACCCGGCAATCTCCATGATCGCTGTGTCCTATAGACACAGCTGATCACGTGATGAGGTAAAAGGCCAATCAAAGCGGCATTTTAACACGTGATCAGCTGTGTCCAATGACACAGCAGATCACAGAGTAAATACTGTTGCCTGTTTTTGGCAGCACTTTCCTCACACTGTCACAGCGTGAGGAAAGTACTACCAATAACCGGCAGGCTGTCACAGAACAGATCAGCACTGATCATCAGGGCACTGAAAATCCCAATACATATAAATTAATTGGTTTATGTGAAAATTATAGCATTTGCAAATAGCGGTATATATACTGAGATTTTTTTTTTATTTTTACTAGTAATGGCGGTGATCAGCGGACATTCTGCCACTGGGGGGAACTGACTTGGTGTCACTGACATCCCCAGTGACACCAATACAGTGATCAGTGCTAAAAAAAAAGCACTGACACTGTACTAATGGCACTGGGCAGGAAGGGGTTAATATGAGGGGCGATCAAAGGGTTAACTGTGTGCTGGGAGTGTTTTATTAGGAGGCCATGTCAGTGTACTTCACTGTAATCACACTGCTCTGGATGGCTGTGCTGTACACAGTCATCCAGAGCAGTGTGCCCAAGCTAACAGGGAGGATAACTGTTAGTAAACAAAACAGTCCTCCTCACCGGGCGCCGTGAGTGATTATCGGCTTGGACCCAGTGATTGACAGCCATGGCCGCGAATGGTGGTGTGGGTAGGGCGTGCCCCCTACCTGAAAATGAAAAATCACATATACATACGTGATTTTGCGCACCGTGCCACCCTGTAGCAGCATTTCTGCTATAAGGTGGACAGGAAGCAGTTAATAATACATTGTGCAATGAGCCTTGACATACAGCTGTCCTGCAAATATATACATATATATATATATATTTTTATATAAAAGGTCCACGAGATGCAATAGCAAGTGATAGGAAAATCTCTACAAAGTGAGGGGAATTCCCCTCTTAGATCAGCATCCCCATTAGATGATCTTCACTCTGTTTTGGTTATAACTCTTTAACTGACAATTGCACGGTCATGCAACGTTGTACATAAATGAAATTTATGCCCTTCTTTTCCCAGAAGTAGAGCTTTCTTTTGACAGTATTTGATCACTTGTGCATTTTTATTTCTTGCACTATAAACAAAAAAATACAGACAATTTTGAAAAGAAAACAATATTTTTGACATTTTGCTATAAAACATATCCAATAAAAATTTTTTAAAAATAAAATGTCTTCACAAATTTAGGCCAGAATGTATTCTGCTACATGTCCTTGCTTAAAAAAATCCCAATAAGTGTCAAATAATTAGTTTACGTGAAAGTTATAGCGTCTACAAATGGCGGTATATACTGGAATTTTTCTTTTTCTTTTACTAGTAATGGCAGCGAACAGTGAACAGTGACTTATTGCAGGACTGCGCAAAATCACCTCCAGTGACTCTAATACAGTGATCAGTGATAATAAAAAGCACTGTCACTGTACTAATGACATTGGGCAGGAAGGGAAAAACATCTGGGGTGATCAAAGGGTTAACAGTGTGCTGTGTGTGTTTTACTGTTTTACTATGTAGGCAAGCTGCTTTGTATTGCTCTGCTGTGCAGAGCAATACAAAGCAGCATGTTCATGCTGACAGGGGAGAGATTTGTGTTGTTTACATACAGACCTCTCCCCTGTCAGCTCTGCCGACAATCACCAAGTGCCGGCCGAGAATTGGCAGCTGGGACCTGGTAATTGATATGCCGTGGAGCCAATAGCAGCACAGGTTGAGAGTGCGCGCACGGACCCCCTACTTGGAAATGCAAAATCACATGATTTTGCGCATCCCTGCGGCCCTATGGCAGTACTTCTGCGATAGAGTGGTTGGGAAGTGGTTACGCTGCAAAAGGCATCCATATCAGGTTGTACGCATGCCACAGGTATGATGCTTTGCTTCGTGCACATGGCAAAATGTATGCCCTTGTTGTGCTGGGTGGCCAGTACCTCTACTGAACATGACCCATTCAAGTTAATAATCACAACTGTCCTGCAACTTTGTGCAATGTATGTGGCACGATAGTGTGGGCTTATAGGTTTAAAATAGGTGCTGAGAAGGCAACATACCACCGGGGCGGATTGCATATTTGAAGGGCGGCATGGGCTGTCACAAGTGTAAACAAACTGTGATACCTAGGCAGGAACATCTATAAGAAGTCGTATTGTTCCTAATAGTTATATAGGACACACCAGAGTAGGGTGTAGATATTTCTAAATGTTTATGTAGAATTTCTCAATACCAAGTTAAAAATACTTGTGGGTGCTGGGGGGTGTGTGTGCAGGAATATGAAAACATACAGCGGAAACATGAAAAAACAGGGAGATGGCAATGCAAATAGACAGAGAAGAAGCCTGGGTACGTCTGAATAAATACCTACTATATATATATATATATATATATATATATATATATATATATCAGACTAGAGAAACGCATCATGTCAGCACTAAAATTAAATGTGGCAGAATCCACCGGCTTAAATAGGAGGACAAAGCAATCATCAATTCAGAGACCAGCTATACTGTAATTCATTAGTAAGGCACAAAGCAGATGCTTTTCAGTACTACAGAGTGGTTGTATTATTATTTCAGGTACTTGTATAGCGCCGTCAATTTATGCAGCACTTTTACATATATATAGTACATTCACATCAGTACCTAACCCTCAAGGGGTGTACAATCTAAGGTCCCTAACTCACATTCATACACACATACTAGGGCCAATTTAGACAGGAACCAATTAACCTACAAGCATGTCTTTGGAGTGTGGGAGGAGACAGAGTACCCAGAGGAAACCCATGCAGGCACAGGAAGAACATGCAAACTTTAGGCAGGTGATGCCATGGTTGGGATTTGAACCAATGACTCTAGTATTGGCAGGCAGAAGTGCTAACCATTTAGCCATTATGCTGCCTCCAACTCAGTGATGTACTAAGGGAGGGTGTGGGGGTGTCATATGTCTGTACTGGTGGGGGTTCTTAACTGGGGGGGGGGGTCTATATTGAAGGGGTTCTGCGTTGGAGGAAAGAGTGTGTGTAATGAGGAGCTGGACGGGGAATTAGGAAAATATTGAGGGGTAGTCTGTACTGAGAGGTTTGTGCTGACGGGGGAAGTTTATCTGTACTGAGGCATCTATGCTGGGGGGGGGGGGGGGGGGGTAGTCAGTGGTAAGTCTGTGCTGGGGGTTTAATCTACATTGAGGTGTCTGTGCTGGAGGGGGGGTCAGTCTGTGCTGAGGGTTGGGGGAGTCTGTACTGAGAGCTTTGTGCTAGAAGGGGGTATTTAGGTAACATCTGTACTGTTGGGATATGGGCTTGGGGGGTGGGGATTATACTGGGAAAAGGAGGTCATTTTGGTTGTACTTTGTAAAGTGGCTTGTGCGTTACATACTCCTGACCTCTGCACTATAGACACAAATTTATCAAAACTGGATAAATTGCCCCCAGTACTGTGTTTTACATTTCATACTCCTGACTACTGCACTCTCAGTACATTACATTCTTCATTGAAGAATATGTAAACCCAACATTTCATATTCCTGATATGTGCCTGCTGTACCATGTACAAAAAAAGTATCCTGTTCTCTTTGTATTACTTCCTTTGTGTGAAATATCTGGTGTTCATGCCAGTCCATTTGCTTTCCCAATAAAAACTGACCACCCAAGGCATGAGAGCACAACGAGCTGGCTTTGCTTTGAGCTAATCCACTGTTCAGGTTTGGGCTGACACGCCTTCCCCTGCACAGCCATTCACTGGGAAGATCAACATGCTACTGTTTCTCCTCCCTTTATGCAGAAGAGAACAAAGTATATGTGATCACTTATATGTACACAGCAGAGAAATACACAGCAGCATGTTTTCCTAGTAAAAAACACAGCACACAGTAAAACACACACACAGCACACAGTTAACCCTTTCATCGCCCCAGATGTTAACCCCTTCCTGCCCAGTGTCATTAGTACAGTGTCAGTATTTTTTATTAGCACTGTTCACTGTATTAGTGTCATTGGGATGTCAGTTGCAGTTAGTCAGTATCCCCCCCCCCCCAGTGTCAGAATGCCCGCCGCCGTCCCCGCAGTCCCGCTATAAGTCGCTAATTGCCGCCATTATTAGTATAGGCAAAAAATTCCAGTATATATGCCACCATTTGTAGACGCTATAACTTTCACATAAACCAATTAATTTATTGGGATTTTTGTTTTAGCAAAGACATGTAGCAGAATAAATTTTGGCCTAAATTTATATTGTTTTTTTTCTTTAAATTGTCAGTCTTTTTTTTAAAGTGCAAAAATGAAAAAACGCACTATTTGTGGGGAAAAAAAGGACATAAATTTAATTCATGTACAGCATTGCATGATCGCGCAATTGTCAGTTAAACTATCGCCATATCGCAAAAAATGGCCTGGTCAGGAAGGGGGGTAAGTGGCTAAACAAGTGGGTTGATGACTTTTTAGATCAGTTGTGTGCAGAAGTATATATAGTTGAGCTGTTTCTATTTTATTCAAATGAATGTGCTAAATGTGCTCTGCTATAGGGTAAAAATCTAATACTGTCAGCCCCCCCCCATATATTTACCTGAACAAGATCTCGATCCAGCACTGTGTCGCAGAGCTGCAGCACTGCTCATTTTCTTCCTCCTCACTGGACTCAGTGAGAGCTGAGAGAGCCATTGACTACTGCTGCTGTCATTCAAATCCAATACTGAGGGGCGGGGCCGAGCACTGTGTGTCAATGGACAAACAGTGCGCGACTTGGGATCGAGCTCGCAAATGTGCCACCATAGGAAGTGGCTTCTTATGGTGGCTCTCACAGAAGAGAAGGAGCCCATAGCACCAGTAGAGGACCCCAGAAAAGGAGAATAGGGGCTGCTATGTGCAAAAACCATTTCACAGAGCCAGAAAGTATGACGTTTGTTATTTAAAAAGAAATAGCCCTTTACCATCGCTTTAAAGAATATTTTGTGAGTGAAAAGACTGTCAGGCAGCACAGTGGCTAAATGGTTAGCACTTCCACCTGGAAGTACTAGGGTCATTGGTTTGAATCCCAGCCATGGCACCACCTGCCTGGAGTTTGCATGTTCTGCCTCTGTGGGTTTCCTCTGGGTACTCCGGTTTCCTCCCACACTCCAAAGACACGCTGGTAGGTTAATTGGCTCCTCTCTAAGTCGGCCCTAGTATGTGTATGTATGAAAGTGAGTTAGAGACCTTAGATTGTACGCCCCTTGAGGGTTAGGGACTGATGTGAATGCACAATATATATGTAAAAGAACTGCGTAAACTGACAGCGCTATATAAGTAAAAGGAGGGTTTTATTCAACTATGTCCTTTTAGCCTGGGCTCACACATATGAACAGCACCACATTCCTGTGCAAATCACATGTGATTTGTGTGTGGTGCGATTGGAGCCATACATTTTGTATGGCTCTAATCGCACCGCACCCACACCAAAAAGGTGCAGGACCATTTTTTGGGCCCGCACTAGAATTAAATTGCATGGGTATTGACACCTATGCGATCTGATCCTCACATCGTACCGCGTTTTGCGTACCGCTTTCAGGGTGTCGTTAACATACACACCCGCAGCGGTTCGCATGAATGGGGCGCGATTCTGATGCGCACTGAAAATGCTGCAAATTCTGCACCACATCAGTGTGAACCAGGGCTTAAGCCTCTCCTACTGTTAGAGCAGGTACATAAAATACCGTTTCGCCCGAAAATAAGACCTACCCAAAAAATAAGACCTAGTACTATTTTTGGGAATTGCTGAAGTATAAGACCTACCCTGAAAATAAGACCTAGTTGTGATCAGCTGTTCCACCACCTCTGGCACTGGCCCTGTGTACACCAATATCTATTGTCTCCTATTTATTTATTTCAGGTACTTATATAGCGCCGTCAATTTACGCAGCTCTTTACATATATATATATATATTGTACATTCACATCAGTCCCTAACCCTCAAGGGGTGTACAATCTAAGGTCCCTAACTCACATTCATACATACACATACTAGGGACAATTTAGACAGATCCAATTAACCTACCTGCATGTCTTTGGAGTGTGGGAGGAAACCGGAGTACCCAGAGGAAACCCACGCAGGCACAGGGAGATCATGCAAACTCCAGGCAGGTGGTGCTGTGGTATAAACACAGAAGCATGGCTTTTGTGTTTGCAAGTGACAATCCCTCTTGTAAGTAACAGCACCATCTGCCCCCACATGAATGGGGTGTGATTCTGATGCGGTGCAGAATTTGCACAGAAAACACTGCAAATTCCGCACCGCATCAGTGTGAACCAGGGCTAAGTCTCAGTGATTGCAAGTGTCTGCTCCCTCTAGTTACTGATCAACAATTCTCTATTTATAACACAATACCGATGATGCAGCAATCACACAAATATGTGAAGTTCACATTACCATAAGTAAATGCTATAAAAATAACTCAAAATGTGTGTTCCCATTTGTTTTCCTTTTGATGGGCACTGTGGCTCTCAGATTTCTTAGATATGCCTCCTAGCCTACTCTCAGGCGGTGCCTGTCAACTGCATATCTCAACAACTAATACATCCTACATGTCCCAAAGCCAAACACAGTTTGTATGACTGATATCCTTCTGTTTAAATATGGATTAGTTCTAATGTGATGTATACATTGTGTTTTTTTTATAACTATAATTTTGATTAAGGCTCACTGCTTCAAAGAATACTCATAAGCTACCAATAGGGTACTGCTGTAGTAAATCGTAACAAATAGTTTCTAACTACTCATTTAAATGCAATACATACCCACCCTTATTTTAGTGATATTTACCTTTCTCATTTGAATCATACTCGCCCCTTAAACAATCTTAAAACTGAAGATAAATCTGCTTATATTTTTCCTTCTTTTTTTCATTGCTTATCCTATTTTAGAATCAGTGACATCATCACTGGTCTCTGTGCTTCTCTATGCAATACAGGCAGATCATGATTGGTGGTAAGACTGCTAATTGTTGTACATCACAGCACATCAAATGTCTTGGTAGCTGAGTGTAAGTTTGGAGGAGTGGGTGTTTCTAGGCAGACCCTAGCAGGATAAAAGTAAAAAGTCCACACCAAAACACCTCAAAAATAAAAAAGTTTATAGCTTTATTTTATCCATTGAATAAAAAAAGAAATCAATAACTGTAAATATTGATGCGTTTCAGCCTCCTACATAGGCCATAGTCATAATAAAATAACAATTTGAGAACAAGTCTTAGGCTAGGTTCACACCTATGCAGGTTGCGTTTGAGCCATTTCTGCATTGCGTTTTGTACCTGCGTTTTTGGTGTGTTTTGCCATGTTTTTGATGCGTTTTGCATTTTTTTTTTTTCATTTTTTATTTCTCTTGTTGCTAGGCAGATTTAAAATGCATGAAAAACACATGAAAAAAAGAGGCAAAAATGCATTAAAAATGCAGCAAAAACGCAATACATGCTTTTCTGCATCATTTCTATTGAAGTCTATAGAACTAAAAAAAAAAAAAAAGTCCCTGACCCTTTCCAAAAAACGCACCGGGGTGAAAACGCAAAGATGTGAACATGTCCCATAGGAAATCATGTTAAATGGACTGTACTGTGTTTCTGCAAAACTCTGTAGAAAACGCTTAGGTGTGAACCTAGGGCAAAATGTTCTGATTAACAGGTGTGAAAGGAAGGAGAGGGCAGAGCAATCATAGGGATAGGTGAATTATCCCTTCCAGAAAGCTGTACACTTTTTGTCTTTGAGATGTCTTGGTGCTGGATTTTTACTTTTACATTGATCCTTAGACACTAAAGCACTGCGTGAATCCCAGCACAAATGTCTCTATCTCATCCTGTTGATTGCCATGGGAAGCTGGGGTTCTAGCACTATTCCAATCATTCTATAGACTCTAGCAGGACCCTGAGTAATGCTTACATGTGATGCTGAGCATCCATATTTGAAATAAGTGATGTCCAATGTTCATTGGGTTGACCAGATCTGGGGAGTGGTGGTGGGTGGACCAGAGCTGGGGAGGGAAGAATAGATGATGCTAGGTGTCCTACAGCCAAGAAATGAGGTGGGCTGGATCTAACTTGAAGCAGCTTCTAAGGCACACTGTGAAAAGCTCACAGTGTGCAGAGAAATTGGCAGCAGAAGGAGCTTGTAGAGCTGTGCAAGTCCAAGCTAGGACTAAAATTCAGCTTAGACCAATGTAAGTATGTCATACTTAATGGACTACTGGTGAAGTTGGAACTCACTGTAGTAGTTACCACAGTGATCACCACAATCTTCTGTGCCGAGCACCTTCCCACTGCACACAGACCATGGAGGGCTCTTGCTTGGCACTGCCGCCATTCACAGAAAGCCTTGTACTCTTTTTTTACAAGGTGTACTCTGATTACGCGTGAGGTCAAGAGGCGGAGTGTCAACATCACACATTCCTCCTCATCCAATCAGAGGACACTTTGTATTCATTAAAAAAAAATACAAGGTGGTCTGTGAATGGTGGAAGTGCTGAGTGAGCACCCCATCTGTGGACTGCAAGCAGAAGGGCAGTCGCTTGGCATAGGACAAGGAAGATAGTGGCAATCCAATGTAATGCAATAAATCCCATACCTGGAATTCAGCTTAAAAGTGATAGTAAACAGCCACAAACATAAATAAAAATCGTCCCCCTCTGCAGGTTTAAGTCATAATGTACTAGTATGCACCGCATATGGGCACATTATGACAGACTTAACTGTACACTGAGCCCTCTAGAGCAGTACTATCATGGCTGCGTGGCACTTCCATCTTCATCCGGTCTTCCTTCCAGGTTCATGGGCTCTGGCTCTCTGAATGGCCGGGAGCCCTGACCATGGTGCAGTACTCTGCGTATTATGGCACAACGTATGCCCTGAATGCAGAGTGTCACTGTGCATACACGGGTGGCAGCAACAGCTACTGCCATGATGAATATTGGTATATAAAAGGTATACTTTTAGGAGGTATTCATTGTCCATACAGGTAAACCTGATGAAACGCTGACCTGCAGGTACAAGTTAAAAACAACAGAGTTTACTACTACTTTAAGGTTTATTTCTATTACAGATGTTTGTGCACATTTGTTTCCATTG